GTGGGACTCTAATTTTAGCGTCCTGCATGTGCGCTGCTCAGAGCACGGTCGTGTGGGCTGCTTCCATTACGCACAGGCAAATTGAACTGAATGGAAATATTGTCGTCTCACTTACCGCTGTCACATTGTATCAGCTCACAGCTGATTTGCTCGGCATTGTAATCGGGCACATAATTAGGGGATATTCACCCAGGGTACGACAGCCCGACGCAAGGCCCATCCTCTGTGGGGAGCAGGCTTTACCCAAAGTGATGCCTGGGCTCCCTGCTGGCTCTGCACGCAGCTGGATGGGCCCAGCTATGACTAACGCTCCAGCCTCTACACTGATTTCTAACCTCATGCGGTCCTTCTGATGTCAACAGGATTTTACCGGACTTTGAGTTGACTCTAAATGTGGCTCAGTAGGTGCTAAAAATTGTCTGTGAGATCCTGAGCTTGAATAACTTGAGAGAAGAACATTTCTTTAAATAAGCATCATGCATTTCTCATTTATGCGTTGAGACTCCAAGCAATAGCATGTAACAGCTTGTAAGGCTCAACTTTTGATTCGTGGGCAGTGTTCGTCGTTTTAAGGATTAATTATTATTCCTTGCTGTACAGCATTAGGAGCTGGAGACTGCAGGAAGATTTGGGGCTGCACGGTGAGTGCCAGGTGCTGCGTGATCCTTCCCTGCCGGTGCCCTGAGCAGGCAGGGCAGGACCAGCGCCGTCACCCCTTTGATACATGGACTTTGGAGACAGGTTTGGACTCTCCCAAGGTCATACACAATTATTTGTAGCAGACCCAGGAACTGAACCAGACCTTTCAGCAGCCCATCCAGGGCCAGAGATTAAAGACTACCCCTTTCTCTCTGCGCCAAGGATTTAGGCACAGGCATGCAAATTTTAGGTACAAATTTCCAAACTGATTTCACCTCTGGCTGTACAGCACCCGGGGATGTTATCTGTGCCTCCTCGGGGGCCTGACCCTCCAGAGTGGCAGTGTCATTGCCAACAGCCCTCACTTCCAGGCTGCAGTCTGGTTGGTAGCTTTTCCTCTATTCTAGAGGATTTTTGTCAAGCCAGGATAAATGACCTCGGTCCAAATGTTTGTCTGTTTTTTTTCTCAATAGTCTCATAAAATCTTTCACCTACAAACCTTCCTGGCCTGCTGAAGATGAAAAATGCAGGATCGTCAGGGCTGTGGCCAAATTTCATTAGCTGCCTGCACAGAAGCAAGCCAGACACTGTGACTGCTGTTAAGCTCAGTCTCCAAACTCTACAAGAAGGCGAGGCACGATGGCAGCGAGGCAGCACCTGTGTCCTCGGAGTGGACCCCGGCGTCCCGCAGGGCTCCTGGGGGGCTGGACCTGTCCCAGCCTTGCAGAGCGCAGGGGAGGATGCCGAGCGGGCAGCAATGCTCAAAGCTGTTCGCTCCTCCACGCCAGGCTGCTGGTGAAGCTGAGAGCCTGCGCTTCCATGCCAGCTTGCGATTCAGGCTCACGGTCATTGAGCTGCTGGCCCGGAGCGTGTTTTCTCCCTGCCACCTGCTGCCAGCTCCTCTTGCACGCTCCCTCCCGTGGACTCCCACGCCGGGTGCTGGTGCCTGCCTCTCCCAGCTGGGCTCAGCTCCCCGCTTGGCAGGCAGGCGTCCCCAGCTGGGTGCCCCCTGAACCGGCGTCCCTGGCTGTGCCTCGCTGCTTCCCTGCCCTCGGAGAGCAGCTGCTGGAGCCTGGCTCTGCCAGGTGGAAGCTGGGCTGCAGCTCTCCAGAGTGGCTTTGCTCGCTGGCTCCATGTTTGCTTTCCCACTAATATCTGGAGAAGATGACTCAGACTGACAGCTCAGCCCTCCGGCTAGTGCAGAAACCAGTGCTGTCCTGGACATGGCCAGCTGCTTCTGAGCAAACGGAGTGTCCCCTGTCTCTCCCCAGCCATCATCTTCTGCAGGAATTTGTCCTCCTCAGGGATGATGGGATGCTCCAGCACATGCACAAGGGAGCTGGAAAACAAGCTTTGACCTAAGTCCTAGAAGTCAGGATGACCTGAACATGTACAGCCTTCAAATCACATGGCGAGGCTCTCCTATTGTATTTGCTCTTCTAATAGTGGGGTGCAAGTAATATCTTTACTGAATGGCGCATTACCTCCTTTCTAGTGATGAGATGATTTCCACAGGGTTCATGAAGTGGAATAATGTTTTTACCAGGAATTTTAAGGGTAAAACCTAGAGCAAGGGTGGGGAGATGTACAGGGCTGTTACAGGAGCAAATACAGTCTTGGCCACAGTTTCCTTAAAAGACCGAAATAGCTATAAACAAAGAAGTAGTGGCCAATGCCAGAAATTCCTGTGCCCTTTTCCATCAAGGTGAAGAATTGGGAGCTGCTGCAGGTAAGACAGGAAATATCAACAAGAACAAGTTACCAGTGTCAGTGTCCAGGCTTTTGGGTTCATTGTCAGGTTGAGCTTAACATTGCCTAAATAGATAACAACTAAGCGCGACTGTCAGTATATATGTATATATGATACTTACATATCCATAGTGATAGGAACAGACAAGGGGAAGGCAGTGGTGAACTCAGTGGGAGACCTACTAAACACACCAACTCCCATTGCAAACTGTCGCCTCCGAGCAAGTCTGCTCCTCATCACGCTCTGCTGCGGAGCAAGAAACCGCAGCTGGAGGCATTTCATTCTTGGTAAAAGGGGGAGCCATCTGATAACATTGCTCCTTCTTTCAGGAGCCTTCCTCATCCCCTATTTCCTGACGCTGGTGTTTGCTGGAATTCCTCTCTTCCTGCTGGAAACCGCCCTGGGCCAGTATACCTCTGTTGGTGGACTGGGAGTCTGGAAATTAGCACCCATGTTTAAAGGTACTGTACTGTAAGTTTGTGAAGGCAATGGCACATAACTACAGACGAAAACCCTTTGATGGTTTGGGAAGCAAATCAGCACATCCCTGGGGACTGGGATGGGGTGGCACATGAGGGGAGTTTTTTCCCTCTGTCTTTATCAAGCTGTCCTTGACCCTGATGTCTGCAGTCACTAACATCACTGTGCGCTGTTCAAGCAGTCTTGTGTGGTGACAAGGCACTTTACGAGCGGCAGGGACTGCGATGGAGGGGCTCTGGTTGCAGAAGACCTGCCTCAAGCCTCCCCATGTGGGCTTACTTTAATTGCATGGGAAAGCTGTAGACAGAGGATGTGAACCTGTCTGGAGTAGCAGCATTCTGGAAACCAGTGGTGATTTAGAAATGCCTTGGACGTAGAAAAGAGCGATTCTGCCGGGGAAGTGACCAGATCCTGTTTTCATGGAGCTCTGTCCCTAAAGTACCTGTAGCATACTGAAAGGTAGCACTGTTCACCCAGTGGAAATGGGTGGGTGAGAGATGTGAGGGAACAAGCCTCCCTTGCTGACCGGTTCAGCCTACCTGT